CAGGGACAGAGAAAGTTTTCTGTCCATTGACTTTAAATTCATTTGTTTTGAAGACTGCAGTCTCAGTGATCAGAAGTTTTTCCTGTTTTATAGTTTCTATTCCCTTTAAATGTCATCTGCTTTTATCTTGTGAATTTGACACAGGTAATTATCGGGTGGGAAAGGGACTACATTGCTTGTATCTCTGTATTTTCATTATATTCTTAAATTATTGATATTATATAAGTGCATTATAGTATTATTCATGTGTTTAAAAATCATTTTAGAAGTCATGGAAAGTAGATTCTTCAAATCCTTCACTTTGCCTGTTGTTCGTTTTCATACTGATAATTACAGAGAATTATTTAACAAGCATTAACAATTCAGTGCTATATTTGCCTATTTGGAAATATATCCTGCTGGGTTCAGTAAAACTTATTCCTAAATAAATCTTCCTGTGCTCCAACAGATAAGCAAGTTTACTCAAAAGTAAATGCTCCTAATTCTAAGGTGACTTAGATTATAAAGTGGAGTGATATAGAGGCAGCACGATTTTCTCAAATTGGCTTAAGTCTGAAGTTACAGCTAGTCTAAATGACATACATCTATAAAGCATACAGGAATAAGAGGAAGGGAAGGGAAGTTCATTTTTCCTAAAGAAGAAACCTTCTGATGCCCTCTGATGTGAAATCTTTCATAAGCAACCAATTGTTTCTCTTAACAGCACTACAGCACACTTTTGGGTTGCAAGTTCTAAGAAATAATTACTGTTGATACAACATCTGCTCCTTGAAAGGCAACAGTTGTTATTTGGATTTTTTAAAAAGAAATTATTTGACTGTCCCTAGGCTCTTATACAAATCCTATATGCAAACAAATCTAGCTTAAATTAATCTTTAGAAACAAACATAAGCGCCCTAAGCTTCTACTTGACATTACAACATTGTCCACTTTCTTCTCTGATTAATAGAGCTGAGCTGAAACTTTCAGAAACAGAAATTTCCCCCTTTCAAGGGGAAAATAAAGAAATATTTCAAAGATGGTGAAGAGAAGAAATGGGATGGGAAAGGGTTTATCAGAACAAACTTCAATGAAGTATTTGTCTTTTTTCCCTTTTTTTAAAAAAAATTCTGAATTGTAAATTGCTGTGAATTTACAAATAACCATCCAGAATAATATAATGAATACTGGAACATTACTAGGAAACTAGTAGACAAACTGGGACTTTTAGGCTTAAGCACTCCTTTGTGCAACTGGATTCTTAATTTTCTTACTGACAGGCCCCAGTATGTGCGAGCTGGAGCAAATATTTCTAACACCATTTTCTTGAGCACAGGTTCTCCTCAAGGCTGCATCCTAAGTCTGCTGCTGTTCACCCTGTTGACCCATCATGACTGTTGTGCTAGGTTTGCCACCAACCATATTGTGAAGTATGCAGATGATACAACAGTAGTGGGCCTTATTCAAGATGACAATGAGAGTGATTACTGCAAGGAGATTGAGGGTTTGGCAAACTGGTGTAAGAAAAACAGCCTAGTTTTAAACATTGGAAAAACCAAAGAGATCATTGTTGATTTCAGAAAAGGCAGACACAACCATACTTCTCTGTGCATTAATGATTCACCTGTGAAGATGCTTGCCAGAAACAAATTTCTGGGTGTGCAGTTAATGAGTAAGCTGGCTTGGTCGCTCAGCAGTGAGACACAGCGAGCACAGCAGCACCTGCATTTTCTGCATCACATGACAAAAGTACATCTTCCTTCCCGTGTCCTTACCACTTTCTACAGAGGGGTGATCACAAGCATCCTGTCATACAGCATTACAGTCTGGTTTGGAAGCATCACTGCTTCAGACAGGAAGGCGGTGCAGAGATTGGTGAGGATGGCAGAAAAGATCATTGGCTGTTCCCTCCCTCCCATCCAGGATATAGCACAGAAGCACTGCTTGAGCAGGGTCCGTAAGATTATTTGGGACACTACACATCCTCTTCATGACCTGTTTTCCTTGTTACCTTCTGGGAGGAGGCTTCATGGTATCCTAAGCAGAACATCCAGATTCAGTCACAGTTTTGTTCCATACAGTATTATGAACTATATGTGAACTCTAAAGCTTCCTCTTTCCGCTGTGTATTTAAGATGGACAGTGATTAATATTTATATGTTATTTACATGTAAGGATATAGGTTTACACATATATTGTATATAGCATGTTCAAATGTCTACTATATATGTGTACATTTTTCAGAGCAAGCAATATTTCATTTTTAATGTGCCCACAGTAAAAAAAAACTGACAATAAAGGTTATCTATCTATCTATGGTCTACTCAGACAAATGGATAGTTAGAAAGATTCTTTTATCCCTGTTCATATTGTTATTTAAATTCTCTATTTCATTTAGAAATTTTAAAGAACTTTTAAAAAAGTAAATGTCAATTGTAGCTTTCATTGCTTTTGACTGAAAAAGTTTAGGATCATTTGGAGCACTGAGCACAGCTACATTTCAATAAAATCAATAAAAGAATGAAAGTAAATTGAAGTCATGCGTAATTTTCTTTTAATCATTTGGACTATGATGGTTGGATTATGATCTTTGCTCATTATAAACTTTTTCTTTCTATACTCCATACTGAGCTATGCCATTTGAAGTCCTGGCTTTTACCCCAAGAACTGGGATAAGATTGGATAATTGCAGGTTAAAAATTTGACTTAGTACCAGTTCTTTATTGTGCTTGAATGTTTTAGTTTAGTCTTATATTTTCAATATAATTTTTATTGGGAGATATCCATATTTAGTTAGGAGTTAGGTGGATCTATAAATGTTTTAAATAAATAAATATTTAGTAAACAGCCATAGATCAGAAAGGTAAAATTTAAAAAGAAATGCTAAAAAAACAAAATAAGGTAAATAGGACAAACTCAGCAGAGAGTAAAGATGTGAAAATTATGTGTACTGTATATCTCCTATTGTACAGAGCTCTTGTATCTATCTTCCCAACTTCATGGCAATATTTTAGTCCCCCAAAGTTCATGCAACATTATTTAATATATATTAACATTGTCTCTTCTAATTCCCTAGATGGATGGTACAGAAGATAATTTCTTCATTTCTATGTCATTGTGTAAGAATTAGCCCTCTGAGACACATGAAAAGATATTTTAAGAACATATGGAGTCATTTTGTTACTATTCAGCCCAGATCTAATTGTATTTTGTGCTATACTAAAAATGTTTTTAAAAAGCTGAAGAGGATAAAATGAAACAAGGTAATAATGTAAGTAGTGGCATTTTTTAAAAATAATATCTTTTTATTTCAGAATAGTGCAGCTTCAATAAGTAAAACATAGATTATTTTGCCGATCAAAACTTCTCAGCTCAATTCATACTTTTATTACAAGTCATAGAAATTTTTACATCCAATCCTGTCCCACAAGACTATACACACAGTTATAACAATAGGATAAAGATAGGAAAAAATGTCATGGGAAATATAAAATTGATAAACGAAAGAGATACATATTATATATGTAGTTTATTACTTTGGAAGCATATTAGCTCTGTAAGTGAAAGCAATTTACTTTTACAGTAGAACTTGCCATAAACTATTTCACCTATATCTAATGACTATTTAAAGCAATCATATATTGGAAAAGAAGTAAAAAATACAATATCTTCTAATGCTGCCAGTATATACTTACTTGAATTATTTAATAATCTAAAATACTATCCTAATATAAAAATCTATTTAAAATAAAATTATTATGCATTTTAATTTAGAATCTTATCATGTCTGTACTTGCAAACTAAACCTTTTTTGTCTATTTCATATGCATTTGTGAAGGTTCCTTTAATATATTTTTGAATGAACTCATTTACTTGCATGCAAATATATATTTTTTAAATTAAGATTTAAATTAAATCTAAATCAAGAGGTTAAAGGTGCAATATAGTTGGTTAGCATAACATATTGTGCAATTTTTGCCACATAATTAAAAAAGCCATTGGCCTGAAAACTTGTAAATCTACAGCAAAAAGATTTGTAGCCTTGCACAATAAAATTACAGTTTCATGAAGTCTTATATATTACTTCTGGAACAATAAAACACACACACACACACACACACACACACACACACAAAATATATATAAGGATGAACAAACTTTTCTCCAGAATTCAAATAGGCTCAATATTTACATGTTTTCTAGGAAAGGGGTTAGGGTACAATAATGTACTATGATTCTCCTTTCTTCAACTTTCATTCCTAGCTACTAGATTTGAGGTGCACTTTTCTGTAGAACTCTCCAATATTCACTTTTTGTTGTCTTCTAGTGTTAGTTTAAATTCTTGTCTAAAGGAGAGGAGAGGGAGAAAGGGAAGGAGGAGGAGGGCAGGGGTGGGGTGGGGGAGGAAGAGGGAAGGGGCAGGGGAGAAAAGAGTAGAACAGAACAGAGAAAAAAGAAGAGAAGAGATTGTTGACTTGATCTCAATAAACAAAATGTTCATTAAAACCTTCAGGTAATTTCACAATAATCTATGAGATCTTGATAAAAAAATAAAATTATTCAAAATAAATTGTTCATTGGCATGTGCCAACAAATAGTTAATTCATAAAATATTATAACATATAATAGATAATAAGATATCTCCCTCTCTTATAGATGCATTTTCTTTTTCAAATGCTATTTTTTTTCTCAGCAAGCATAGTTGTAGATTACCTTATTTCTGGTCTCATAATATTAAATATGTTCCAAAACACAATGCAGAATTTAATCCAAAAATGATATATGGCAGGACAAAGGGGCTTTCATTCTGTAATCTTAATTTGCAAAGCACAAATTTGGAAACAATTCTGATGCTAAGCAATTTGTCTAGTAAAGTCACTTGATTATACACAATTAGAAACAGTCATCATTCTTCATGATAATAAAGGAAGGGACAACAACAACAGAATCACCTGATTCTCAATGACTCTCAACAATCAAACAAGAAATTACAATAAATAAATAAACAAATAAACAAACAAACAATAAAAAGGAAAACCTCATAATGTAAGTGCCTTAACCATATGTGTGTTGCCCGTGCTGCAAGGGCCTGTTCTGTCCTTACCAAGGGGACTGCTAAAGTTTTAGCTGAAATAAAACAGCCTCACAAACTTTATATTTCCTATGCCTATTAGATTCCCTTGAAGGCACTTCTATGGATGTGATTTGCAGGACTCACAAATTGAGCACTAAAAAAGGCATATATGGAAAAGTTCAAAAGTCAAAGGCTGAAAATTTTGGATTACGCTAAATATGTGACTCTATTTCTCCAAAGAAAATGGAAATCATTTATTAGTGATTTTGGAATGAAATGCAACCAGTCCTAACAGATACGTGCTTACCTAATTTCAAATTTGTTTGATTGTGTTAGTTACACAAATAGTTAATATAAACAAATATTTCTACTCTGCGTCATAAAAATAGAAGGACAATTAAAGGAAAATTATTTGTTTTTATATTATTTTTCCCCAGAGTATACTTTATTTAGCAAACTATAGGTTCAATAGGTAAAGAGAACTAGCAGCTCTTGTATTGTTAGCTTTCCTAAGGCACACAGTAAAGCATGGCCAAATATAATTTAAAGAGCAAAAATATTTGGTATGCTCAGAGCTTTCAGGAAAATACTTTTTCATGATAGCATTTTATCAGTCCAAGGTTCAATAACTATGGACATGAGGCAGATATCAAACTGAGATCTTTTTAAACTCATAAACCATAAGGAATAATTAACAGATGAAGCAAAAAGCAATTAATTGAAAGGCATCCAGTTCTAACAATCTACACTTCATGGACATAATCTTTTACATAAAACAGTAAATAGATTTCATTTAATTTTTGGTTATCACACTTTAAGATTTCAGATGATTAGTTTTGCAATCAACATACAGTGAGATGTTTGCTAATGATTTTTACACCTTTGTTAATATGTAACACATTTCAGAATTCTGTAGGGGTTTTTTTTATGCAAAGATATTTTTCCACACAATGAACAGTGCCACTGTTACTCCCTGTATGAATACTGGAAATAGTTAGTGGCCACTCTCTAAAATATGCTGGTTAAAAGCAAAATATGTTAATGAAATGGTCAAGGAAGAATAGCAAGCACTGGCAGCTGCAGTCTAGAGCAATTTACCATGAACTCAGTGAAATCAACATTGCAACCCTGCAGAGAACCATGGAGTAGAGAAGTGAAAAAGTATAAATGTGTTGGGAAGAGCATTGTGTAGTGGTGTACTCAGGATTAGTTCGTTATGATCTTCTTTAGTCCAGTTCATGCAACCAGCATCAGCATCAGCTATTCTGGATTGTAAACTGGGAACTTCCAGTATTTAAGTCTCCACCTTGGAGCACACAGAACAACTTCCATCTACCACCTCTTTCCAAACTGAACTCACATTCTCTCTTCCTCCCTCCCTCCCTCTTTCTGTCTCTCTCTTCCTGGCCAGCCTCCTTTATTAGATTATGTAGTATTTAATTGTTCATTTTCCAATTCGTAACTATTCTCTTTCACCCCATTCTTCCAGACTACAGCTTCCTGACTTCTATATAGATTTGTCATGAAGACAACCAGAGCTTTTTTTCTCATAGAACTCCCAGAACGGAGTTCCAGAACGGAGTTCCAGCACCTTTTTTGGATGAAATCTTGTAGGGTAGGCAAGGTGGGTTGTATGACATGTGTGAGTTCCGGCACCTTTTTTTTTTTTTTTTTAGAAAAAAAGCACTGAAGACAACTATGTGTTCCAATTTTCCTAAGCAGTTTCCACAGCTTGACATTTTCAGCACAATCAATGACCTTTCTATAACTAATAAAGTCCACAGTGACTTCTTTTCGGTATTTTTTTTACTTTCCCTGGAGCCCTGGTGGTGCAGTGGTTAGAATGCAGTATTGAAGATTAATTCTGCCTACAGTCTGGATTTCGATCCTGACAGGTTCAAGGTTGACTCAGCCTTTCATCCTTCTGAGGTAAAATGAGGACTCACATTGTTGGGGGTAATATGGTGACAATGTAAACTTTCTAAAAGAGTTCTGTAAAGCACTATGGAGTGGATGAAAGTCTAAGTGCTATTTCTATGACTATTCTCAATTATCCAGCATGCATCAACCATAATTAGCCCAGAGTCACATTGAGCTGGTTAGCCTTATAAATCAAATAAAATAAAATCAATGCTCTTATGTCTCTGCCTTTTCTTAAACCATCATTTCCCTTTCTTTACAGGGCTCTCTGAGTTGGGCAATTCTAAACATAATTTGTTAGCATGTGAAATTAAGGATTTTGTATGACAGTTTACACAATCTATTAAATTCCCTGTCTTTAATACTGACATGTAGAATGATCACCTCCAATCATTTGCCACTGTTCTATAGATTTGCTGTCATGGTTTCGTTAGAGCTTTTGCTGATTCCTCTGCCTTTTTTGTGTGTGGGGCTCATGTTTCTGCAACTGTTTCACAGTTCCTGAAGCCTTCTGACTTAGTAATAACCCAGGGCCTACTGTGAATTCATTTTCAAATGCTAGAGGTTGTTAACAAATTTTTACATTTGTTTTCTCTGTATGCATTATATTACCTCACTGATATAATCCTAAAAAAGTAAAGAAAGAAATCTCATATTTTTTTCCATTTCATTGATCCATCATAATAAAAATTTCCCATCTCAATTATACAGCAATGTTCACATTTTTATATAAATCTTATTAAAAGTACATCTCACTACAAAGTTCATTCCTTAAACCCACCTACTTACCAATAACCAAGATTAACTTTATAATCCAGACTTTCAAATTTAATCTTGCCTATCAATTAACAAAGAAAAAAGATCATTAATATGCTAGAATATGTTGAATAAGAAAAAAAATCAACCCAAGAAAATAATTAGACCAACAATCAAGAAATAAACAATACCCCAATCAAGGAACAACTAATTCAAACAAACAAGCTAACAGTAAACAACAGCCTAATCCAGGAACTACCAAGAGCACTCCCACCAATCCTGACAGGGCAAGCCACTAGTATATAAAATGAAATGAAAGCCTTCTGGCATTGATGATGTTACCGAGTTTGGTAATGAAATGTCTGAAAGAAAACAATCTTGCTTAGAGAGCACCAAGGACCCTACAGTTCAACCCTGAGCTACAAATATTCACTTCTATCAGTAAAATAATTAGTTTACTTTCTCAGATAAAATAAAGAAAAGGGCCAGAGGCCTTTACTAATTACATTTGTATATCCAAACAAATAAGTACTGAGCAAAGTTAAATAGCAACATTCACGCAAAGGGCTAAAGTTAGAAAAAAATGCAGCTTAGAATATTACAGATACAGATCTTTTAACAAGTTTTAATCCCTGTTAAAGAACTAGCTTATTCCACTCAAAAGAGATCTTCCTGTTCTATAAGCTAAATCTATGAACCAAATCATTTTTAATCCAAAATGATCTAAAAGTATTGAAAGTCATCAAGAGAGATACAGCTCAGTAATTGAGGGAAGCATCTCTTTCAGTTAAAACAACTTAATTAAAGTGTTTAAGAAACGGGGAGGCCATATCTAGTGTCCATTTTTCTCAGCTACATAAACCAGCTGTTGAATTTGATGAAACCCCTGTCTCATAGCTGGCTACTCACTAGAAGATTGCAAAAAAACTTGTTTAGTACCTTCTCACAAGTGTCGGCTGTCTGGAAAACATGTGATTGATTTCTTGAATTCTCTTTGTCTCCAGAGATTTCTTCAGGTACCAGGAAACCTGCATGGACCCAAAAAACAAAGCTGGGTGTGAGCTGTCCTCTAAAAGGTCATCAACTCTTGCTCAGTAATACACTGAGTATCATTTAATTAGTGGTGTCCATCATCCAGGACTCTATTAACAATCCTTTATATATTTTTATGCATGTGGTTTTCTTGATAAAAAATATTGGAGCAGTTTAATATTGTCTTCTGCTATACAGTATTAATCAATGACTTTTCCATTGTCACTAAAATGATCATCTGCCTCCAGCATATTCTATGTTACTGCTACCCAAGATAGGCTTGCTTGCTTTAGATGGCAACTGGAATGTCCTTCATACCTGGGCAACCCTGCTAGGATTATGTACCCTTTGCAAACCTTCTCAGCATACTTCACTCATCCATCCTAGGAATGACAAGGCAGCACAGTAGGACTTGAGAGAGAAAATCAAACTACAGATGTAATTCAAACTGACTTAACCATAGATCTGGTACTAGTTATATATAATGTCTAATTTTCATTAGCCCATCAGAACTGGATGATCTAAAATTATTATTTTCACATTTGAAAAAAAATGCATTAGATTTTATTTTATCACTGGAGCGTAGAATCAGATACTTGCGAATATTAAAATTATTTGTTTATTTCACTGAGTATAGATGGCTTTGTTAGCAAAACTGCATAAAGAAGGCTCTTCTTAGCCATTCCCAGAAACAGTTTTCATATGTAACTTTTGATTGTTTATAGAATGTCATACTTGTTATATAGGACCTAAAATAGAATTTAGTTTTAAAAGAATGAATCACTTCCATCTAGGAAGATGTTGACCCTAGCAGTTTCTGCATTATCAACTGCTTGGTTGGACTTCCTGAAGGAAAGATTGGAAATAGAATCACTGTGTGAAATAATTTTATAGCCATCATATTTTTGCAGTTTTTTTTCTTTAGTTAACTCATCCTTTGTACTGTATGTTATACTTTCACAGCATTTGAGCTGATCTGAACTCTGACATTCTTGTTGGGTATAATAAAAATATTGTATCTTTAGCAGGAGACGACAAACTGTGGCAGCTTTACCAAGCATTTTTTTTAAAAAGTTGATAAAACAGTCAGCTTGTTGTTATGTAGCTGAGCCACCACTTCATCAAGCATTCTGCTTATTTTCTTTCATTACTGGAATCATGCCTTTCAGCTACTAGACTAAAAGAAAAATCCATTAATATACAATTTAAGCAACAAGAATATTAAATGTGTGTGTGAATAACATACTGAAGAGAATAAAAGGAAAAAATGTGAAATTATCCTTTTAACTGCATGGGACTGTCAAACAGTTCTTTTGCATTGTTCTTTAGGATGTACATTCTTAAAGCAGGAAATTAA